TTTTTTTTTTTTTTTTTTTTTTTTTTTTTTTTTTTTTTTTTTTTTTGCGTTAGAAGAAAGGAATCAGTGATTTAGAAAGGTAGCTGTGACATTTTCAATCTGAGAAACACTGAGATGATTATTTTAGAGTTTTTTACAAGCAAGAGGGAGCTGTGCATGCCTTGAGTTGCCCGTAGCTCCAGGGGACCCATTGATTTTTGAGGTCTCCCAAGCTGCCCCATGGTGCAGTCCTGCAGGAAGTCTGGGGCTCCCAAACTTTTTGCTGAAGAACAGGAAAGTGAGGGAGGGAAATTCCCTCAAAATCAAGATGTTCATAGAATCATAGAATGGCTTGGGTTAGAAAGGACCTCAAAGATCATCCATTTCCAATCCCCCTACCATGCACAGGGTTGCCAGCCTCTAGACCATCTACCAGCTCAGGCTGTCCAGGGCCCCATCCAGCCTGGCCTTGAATGCCCCCATGGATGGGCCATTTCTGGGCAGCCCGTGCCAGTGCCTCTCTGCCCTCTCAGTGATAAACGTCCCTCTTGTCGTCTAATCCGTTTGTGTGTAAACGTTTGACATACCGGCATTTGCAGATGAGAAGTTCGATCAGCAAACTTTCCCCTCGTTCCTTCTATCCCAGGCACCTTCCCAGAAATGTTCCCTGCCTCCCCTTTACGAGGCAGAGCTGGCAGAAGCCGCTTCTTTTCCTGCTCCCGAGTAAAACCCCAATCCAGCCGGAGAGGAGCAGGCGGACGGGAGGAGATGCTGGGCGCCTGGTTTCCCCGCACCTCTAGGTGGGGTAGGCGAGTTTTTTCAGACCGAAGCCCTGTCCCGTTGCCTGCAGTTCGCAAAACTTCTCCGGCAGAGAGCAAGGAGCCAAGGAGAAGTTCTTGGGAAGCCCTGCGAGCCTGAAGGCAGCGCCCGGTGACAGCTGAGGGCTTCTGGGGGCCAGAGACCCCTGGGATCCTGTTGAGGACATTCATGCCGAGCTCCGTGAGGACGGAACACGCGTGCTGGTTGTGCCCGAGCCTCGGCATCTGTGAGAGTCCGTCCGAGCGCTCGCCCCGAGCCCTGTGCCTGCGGGAGGACCTCACCTCTGGGCTGCGGTGGTGGTGACCCCGTCTGTGAGGTATGCCGGCGTCGGGCGATGTGCCCAGCTGTCCCCAGAGCTGGTGCGGCTGCCTGGGGACCTGCTGTGCCGCAGGATTGTCGCTGGGACTCCGACTGGATACTCTGTGGGTTTAGGAGTGACCGTTCTGTGAGTTTCTCTGCTCCCAGCAGTAAAGAACTGCTTTTATTTGATTATTTGTTTATTTATTTATTTATTTTCTGTGGATGCCAGAAGATAGTTGGAGATCTTGGTAGCATCTTTGATTCAGAATGCTTTAGGTGTATTTATTACAGGGAATCTCAATGTTCTGACCTGCTCACAGATCTCAGTGAGCCTGGTGAACCTCGAGTGGAGGTTCGCATTTCTCTAGAGGATGGGGGGACTGCTGGTTTGGGTCTCATGTTAATGTTGCAAACTGCTTTGCCTGTGCATTTTACACTGTTGCTACATATTGGAAATTACGACCACAGTGGAAATTAGCACAGCAGCGGCAGCATAGAGGCTGGCTGCATGTGCATGTGAATACATGTTTGTAGCATGCCGATTTTTATTTCCTCTGCTTTCTCAGCCTTGCTGTGTGAGTGCTGAGGGACTGAGGTCTGGAGAGGAAAGCTTACCCACTTTGTGCCCTGTACCTGTACTACCTGAGCAGCTTTACATGCCACCTCAGCCGCCTCTGTGGGAGCAGATTGCTCAGCCTGGGCTAACACCCATCTCAGCAGCAGAGGCAAGTGGCCTGTGTGAGCCTTGTGTGGTTGTGGCTGCTGCTGGTACTGAGCTGGTTGTCTGCTGCCACAGTTATAGCACTGGTGCTGTGGATTAGCAGAAAGGGTGCTTGTATGCTTGAGGGAAAGTGTGTTGTCATTATTGCAACCTGTGACATTTTAGATGTTGAACGGCGGGGCACTGGGTAGCGCTTCAGATCTATTCCCTTATTTAGTGCAATGGTACCCAGGAGCTTAGGGGTGCCACCCAAAACCTCTTTGTATGCTTCCAGCTACAACGAAGGCTTCCACACCTGTGGCTGCTGTTTGTTGGAACAGGTGAGGTCTATGGCTACTGCTGCCACTCCTCCACAGTAGAGGAAGGAGATCATGTAGCGAATTGCTATTTTGCTTGATGGATCTTGAAATGTTTGGGTCAAATGTTTGAAATGTCTGGCATCTCTATGAAAAAGAAAAACAAAAAACAACAACAACCATGGATGATGATGAATTTTAAAAGGAAATTAATTTCATTGTGCAAAATGAAGTCAAAATCCATGTCTGTGATCAGCATTACTCGGTCCTTCCTTCTCTGTCATAACTAAGATGTAATAAATAAGAAGAAGTTCTAGGCATCCTCTACTGAAGAGCAATACCAGTAAGGAAGTAATTTTGAGATGCAAAGAAAACCAATCAGCTGAAAGAAATATACTATTTTCATCAGCAGCTCCAAGTTTGGCTCCAAACCACTCACAATTTCTCCTGAGAGCCCAGCTTCACTGGAGGTATCTGATAACTGAAACTCTTACCAAAGGTTGGCCCAGCTCTTTTGGCTGCCAGGGTCCAACACTGGTATGTTACTGTTTGTAAAAACGTGCCTGAGCCCAACAGAGAGTTCAGATGAGAATGAGAACATGCCCAGAAAAAGACAGTATGCTTTTTTTTTTTTTTTTCCCTAAATAAAGATAGATTTTTCAGAAAACTGCTGCCACAAATAGGCTTTTTCCCACTCTGTTACACCTAGATGGAAAATGTGTGATGTTTTAATTTTTCATGTCAGACTTTGAGGTGGTCGTTTTTGAGGGATCATACGGAATTGTATGCAGTGGAAATCGCCTCACTGGAAATGTTGAGCTGAATGTAACTGTACTGTAACGGTGTTTAGCATTCCTCTGGAAATGACTTCACGTAGAACATGGCAGCTTTGTGCGTAAGGGTGACACTTCCTGGAGGACTGGAGTATTTTGACATGTCTACAGTTTCTAATCGAATCCATTTAGACATACTAGATAAATGGTCCAAGTCTCAGTTTTCAAAAAATAGCAGCAAAAGCTTTTGAAGATAAGATTAATATTAAGATAATGTTTTTCTCATGTTGTCATCGGTAGAGGAATTCCCCTCTAATACCCTTGGCAGAGTAGTTTCCTTTAACTGCATCAGGATGGGACTGGGTTTCAGATAGTATCTATGTCGCTTCTCAGCTAAAAGGATAAATCGCAACATGAGCTTCTGTCTATAGAAGGCTAAACCAAGAGGTTCCAGCAGGGCCACTCCCTGCATGAGTCATTTGTAAGGAGCTGGGGTACATCTGTTTTCCTCCTCCGGGTTGTTCTCCAAACCAGGTCTTTTCTGCCTTCTGGAGTTCTCCTGACACTCAAGGCCCAGTATTTTATTTTTTATGACACCTTCAGAAGATAACAGGTGCTTCTTTTCACCTCCTGGAGCAGCAGCTGTTGGCGAGGAAAACACTTCCTTTCGAATACACAAAAATGTTCTGGCCACTGAGTCGTTAGGACAGAAAGCCGTTCGCAAAATCAGAGAGATTTTATCACATATATTCCAAGGTGATAAATCCTTTTTTGACTGCTGTCTAATCCTTTACAGATATTTATCTCCTTGGAATACATATGATATATTTGACTGTCCTCCTCTGTAGATATTGTTGTTCTGCCTTTGTGGTCACTGTGTGAGCAAAGTACTTGGCCATACTTTTCCCGGAAAGCTAAGAACCTGTGTTCACACAGCAGAGAACTAGGACATCCAAGTATTATTTGGAGGCCAAGTAACTTCTTGTTCTTTTATTTGATTTACAGCTCATCCAATTCTATAAAAAAACAAACTTGAGTTTCTGGGCCCCTTCAGTCAATGGCAGAGCTCCCACAAGGCTGGTGTGCCCAGCTCCTGCTGGCTCTGTGGCAATGCTCAGTGATCAAACGCTGCTTCCTGAGTCGTGCTAATGTTGCATGCATTTCTTCTGACTTGATGTATCTCAGATCTTTCTGTTTCTTCCCACCATGGAAATCAGAACAAAAGTGGAGAGCAAGTTATTTTCAAATTCATAAAGAACTCATTAGAAACAAAAGAATAAAAGATAAACAAAGACTATTTTAAACATTATCTGCTATTGTCTTTTAAAGAAGTTGAAGCTTTGCCAGTGGATTTTCAAGTCTGTGGAGACAAAGTCAGGGCCACATCCTCCTGATCTGATGCTTTTGAGTGCTGGTAATCCAAAATGCTTGGTCTGAATCATCCACCATGAATGTACCAACAGGTTTCACATTACCAATTGTCCTAATGTCTGACCATCTGCACTGCAAAATAAATAGCAAAGTCCTTGGTGGATTTCATAGAGTTTTTGGCATTTATTCATTTTCAGTCTCAGTTCTGCAGAATTGAGCTTTTTTGGATTTAATGCCTTAAATATTGCTCATTTCCTCTTGAGGCTGGTAAGGATTTACACAGAAGAAGAGACTGCCAGAGTTGTGTCAGTTTTATGGTGGAAAGGCTTTTTCAGGGGCTTGAAAAAGCTGTTGTTGGTGTTGTTTCTTGCTCTGTAGCTCTCCTGCATTTGCTGGTATCTGAGCTGGCCCTTGCCAAATTGCTGTGCTCGCAGGGTTAGGAGGTTTTCCATGACCCAACCATCCAAGGGCTTCAGCAGCTGCTCTGATAATAAACACATGTGGTGTAAGCTGTGTTTTGGGAATGTTAGCTGGGTATGGTCCATGGCCACTGGAGATACTGGGAGAAAATTGAAACAGTTTATAATGCTTAGCTTGACTACACTTGCAGCATCCTGAAATACTGGTAGACCTGAGATCCTTTTGGTCTTGAAGGACACAATAAGCCTTTTTGAAACCTATAGCATCCAACCTTTCCCAACTGATCTTCTGTGAAATATGTGCTTCCCTGTCTAAGCCTCGTTCATAAAGATATGTGAGCTCCAGTTTCTCACTGTCATTGTCTCTGCCCTGAAAATACTTATGGATGTATGTCCCCTGTAGATCGTGTTAATGAGCCTCTGGTTCATTGGACATTACAGGCAGGACATGGTGCTGCAAAAATTGACTGAATCTAAGTCCAAGACAGATCTTTGGTACTAAGGAACCATGGAAAGATTCACTTTTTTTCCCACCTCCCCTAGAGGTTATGTTGTATACTAAGCTCTGTTACATCAGTCTCTACCCTTTGCTCAGCAGTATAACAGTCTGGGGACCAAAACAAAAACATATGGCCAAGTACTGAGAGAACTTTTAATTCTGACAGTACATCCATCTCTTGCTTCAGATAGATCAAAAAAGAAAACTACTGAAGTGCCAGTTAAGCAGCATACAATTATTTGCAGATTGACTATCAGGATTTTTCTTTAATCTTAAGCAAGTACCATTTTAATAGTTCAAGATTCAATATTTACAATTATCCAGACCAGAACGTATTTCTATGGCATGCCCCATTTTTCTCTCCTGAATGTATACATGCTCTGCTGCTTGGAAGAGTGACTGAGGAGGGAAGAATATCTGCATATTAACAGCTGATAAATTGGCTTTACAGAAATTGGCTTCTGTCACTGAAAAGAAGGAGATAGATAGACCCTGTGCATCCAGATCACACATCTTGGAAGAGAAAAACAGCAGAAATATGAGGAACAGGCTAGGTGAAAGGTTAAAATGGCAGACTCTGCTAAATTACCTGATGCTAGTTCATAGCCTGCTATAGTTGAGAACTGTGAAACATCCTCAAACATGGGACTGAAATTTAGCATCTCTAACCAAGAGGAGTTCAAAATTACTAAAGTACAATTTCTTTTCTTAGAAAAATAAAAATATGTAACAGACCTCAAAGGAACAGAGTTTAGTCAGTGCTGAGCATATTTTCACACTGTCCCTGAAGCACAGTTGCAAAAGAAAAAAAGATAAATCAATCAACTAAAAAAACCCAAAAGCCCCAAGAAAAGGCTGAAGACGTGTTCTCTCTTTGTCACTTGAGATTTTGCCATTTCTTTGCTCAGGGGCAGTCGGTGACAATGGGTCCCCTGAG